AGAGGATATTTAACATTCTGAAGTTTACCTGGGTCCTGTTCCTGGCGACCGTGGACAGTTTCACAACGTGGCTCAACTCCATCTCACGGGAGCACATCGACATATCCACCGTCCTGAGGATCGAGAGGTGCATGCTGACCAGGGAGATTAAGAAGGTGATCTTGAAGCTGCCGGCGCGGTTCGGTTTGCTTCTTCCCACCTCGTAGGGGTTTCGAAGGTCCACATGCAGAGCGCCAAGTAGGGTGGGACAGAACCCTCTCTCCCGACAGTCTCTGCTTTTTTGTGTATTTCAGTGTGTTCCACACTCAGAATGAAAATGATCAGAGGCTACACACCCACTCACACACACACACACGCACACACTCACACACACATCCCACCCCCGTCACCACAGCTCGCAGGTGCACAGGCTCTGTCGTGTCCATGAAGGATCGTGCTGTTGAGTCTGGGGACCTTGATCTGAAACGTCCCTTAGGGAAAATCAGGATCTCCCCAGAGATACAAAATATAACCACATACAGTTCATAGATTGCATTTAAAAATAATAGTTCCTTTCTGGAAAAGTTACTCTGATGTAGCAAAATCATCTCCATCTACGAAGGAATTTCTTTTTTAAACTTCTTTTTCTTAATTTTTGGAGATACAACTGACACATAACATTATGTTAGTTTCAGGTGTACAGCATAACTCAGTGTCTTTATAAATTGTGAAATGATCCCCTTAGTAAGTCCAGTTAACATCCGTCACCACGTATAGCTGCAAGTCTTTTTTCTTGTGGTGTGAACTTTTAAGATCTGCTCTTTTGTAACTTTGACTACGCAGTGTGACATTGTTAACTGTAGTCCCCACGGTGTGCTTTCCACCCCCGACTGTTTTGTAACTGGAAGTGTGTACCTTTTGCCCACCTCCACCCACGAGCAAGGAGGGATTTCTGGTTCAGCATGACCCAGTCACATCGGCACCATGAATTCAACGAGTTGACATCAGTGCCGACCCGACTAGCTTGGTGTTCGATCCCATTCAACATGTCATGCTGCCCAATGGCGTCGACACTGAGGGATGCCCGGAGGCCGCCCAGGCCAGGGCTCCCGTCAGGACTGAGCTGTCTCCCTCTCCGCAGGGCAACGTTCCCACGCGGGAGAGCGTCCACATGTACTACCAGAACCACATGATGAACCTTTCCCGGGAGTCTGGGCTGGACACCATCGACGACCGTCCGGGCGCCCCTGCAGGTGCACAGACAGCCCGCAGGATGGACAGCTTAGACTCGCACGACAGTATCTCCAGGTGCGTCACGTGCCACACGTGGGGTTGCTTTTGACAGAGAAGGGAGGGGTGGACTCTTCACCGTGAGAAGCGGTGGGTGAGGTGCAGGATTTCCATCGCGGGCTGTCTCCGCGCGCACAGCCAGGCAGGGCGCTGCCTCCCTGGACTGAGCCAGAGAGAAGCAGGAACCAGTAAAAACCACGAGAAACCGCGTGTGACTCGCAGGCACAGGACTGAGATTTCCAAGCTAGAAGCAAGTCAGATGCGCCTTCCTGTCACCAAATTCCTTTCTGTATCGAGAGCTGCCTCTTTAATGCCTTTCAAATGCCCTTCCTGTGGGGAGGGTGTAGCTCAGCGGTAGAGCGCGTGCTTAGCGTGCACGAGGTCCCAGGTTCAATCCCCAGTCCCTCCATTTAAAAAATAATAAATAAATAAATAACCAACCAGTTACCTTCCCCCAAAAAACAAAGAGAAGAAAATTGTTTTAAAGATGTACATTTTCCTAAATGTTTCATTCATTCATTCATTCGTTGATTCATTTGCACACCACGTCCCGGTGTCCCTGCACGCAGCCTGGGACAGCCCCGCTCTGCGTTTGCTGACTGTGGGCTGGGTCTGACACAAACTGTGCTTTCCTTTGTCTGAATTTCACCACAGAAGGCTTCAGGCAGCTCTGTTAACTGAAAGCCACGTCCGTGTTCAGCTGGAATGCCTTCTTCCCACGTAGTAAGGAATGCAGTCACATACGTGCACAGTGCGCATTCTTCAAAAAAATGTGCTGCCCCATAATGTGATGGGTAACATTTTTTCAGATGAACTTTTTGCGCTCCTTTTTGCCTTGCTTCATAGCACAGAGATTTCTAACTCACCTAGATCCCTAAGCTTGGCAAGTACGAAGGGGCTGGACGGAGTAGCCTTTTCCTCGTTAATTTACAACGACACTAACAGTGGTTGGTAACAGTTTTTCCGTGAACCTCTTCTGAAATGTCACAACACTAGACTTTCTCCAAAGCAGAAAAGCACGCATAACTACAAAAATTTTCCGTAAAATCTGAGGGGTTTCTCAGGCCTCCTGAGTGTTGTATGTGAGCCTGGCTTGAGAACAGTGGCTTCACAACCAACTTCTGAATCACATGAATTAGAAAATTAGAAAGTGAACTGAAAATCATTTGCCCGTAAAATAAACATATGTGATTCCTGTCTTGGTAACTTTTAGCTGCATAACAAATGATAATGTGGCCAATGAAGGAAGTAACTAAATATTGTAAATCACAATTTTAGGAGAGAAAAGAAAAAGAAAAAACTGGCTAAAGTAAAATCAAGCCGATCTTTTAAAATCTGACCAAAGATTACAAATACAAAGCCGCCCCCTTGGTCAAAAGCTGTGAGGGAGGAGAGGTGTAAGTCTATTGATTGCTTTTTAACGAAGGCTGAGAGGCGTGCTGTGCACCCTGGCGGCACCGTGAGGGCATCTGCCCGCTGAGACTCGCCACCTGTTACTGCTAAACTCCCCCTCTTCCCTTTCACTTTGAAAACAGCCCCAGCTTGGATGGCAGATGGACTGTTACACGTAACCCAGGAGTCCGGGCCGTGCAGGGTCTGCGGGTTGGCGGGAGCTGGCCCAGAGTGAGCATGATAGACGGGCCGTGGGGGTGGAGCCGTGGTTCCCTGCGGAGACAGTGCTTGGCACCTTCCTGCCACCAACTTCCAAGAGGCCACGTGTCCATGTCTGAAAACAGAAATGTCGCAGAAGCTCAGAGCTCCAGTCCCCTCATCTCACGACTGATGGAATGGGGATTTCAGAGAGGGGATGTGATCTGCCTAAAACCCGGCAGGCAGCCAGTGTCAGCTGCAGGCGTGTCCAGTGTGTCTCCAGGTCGCATTGCGGTCACCTGCTCACTTCACCCAGGACACGTGGACATTGAAAGGAGCGAGGGTCAGGGGGAGGGTACAGCTCAGCGGTCAGGCACGTGCTTAGTGTGCACGAGGTCCTGGGTTCTGTCCCCAGCACCTCCATCACATAAATACATCATATAAATACATAAACAGATAAATCTAAGTACCTCCCCGTCCCCCAAAAATAAATAAATAATTTTTAAAAAAGGAAGAACGAGGGTCATTGTGACCCCAGACATCACGCCATCATCCCGAGTGGTTCCCACGTCTGCCTCACAGTCACTGTGGCGTCTGACTGTGCGCCAGGCACACAGGAGGTCCCCTCATGGGTCACTTGAGGGTGACGTTCATCCAGGGGGTCAGCTGCAGCATCACAAAGGCTCGCCCCCTGGGTCGGCTGGGCCTCCTGTGCCCAGGCTGGAAGGGAGCGTCCCAGGCGCCTCCGTCCCGGCTTTGCAGTGCGTGCCGCCGCCTGGGGTTGAGCTCTGCGTGAGCACTGAAATCACGCCTCTGAGCTCTGTTGGCTGTGGTTCCGAGTCGGGTCACCCAGTGCAGCTCAGTCTTGAATCTGCCATCACTCGCCCCCTGATGGTTGGGTGACGGGAACTGAGCATTTCAGCCTGTGGGATCGCGCCCTAGTGACCTCCGCCAACACCTAAAACCTGGCCTGGAAGACCGGGCTTCCTCAGGCTCCCCGAAAAGCTGGCAGACAAAGTGGCCGCGCCCCCAGGCTTCCCCTGCGGGTGCCCCGTGCTGCTCCACTCCTGGTCCTTCTGATGCTGGTTGATCGCCAGTCGTGTGTCAAACCAGCATCTCTTCCGCAGGCGTCTAGTTTGGCTTGACCGAGTGTCCCTCGCAGGACGGGGTGGGAATCAGCCTGCTGTGGCCAGTCCTGAGCTGCCGCGTTCCTCCCGGAGACTGTGTTTAAAAAATGACATTGATGCAGACTCCACATAAGCAGACACTTCTGTGTCAGCGGTTCGGCTCCAGATTGCTCTCCGTGGACCGAGGACTGGGGTCTCTTCATAGAACGGATGTCCTTTCCTTGGGGAAAACACTCAGTTGCAAAGCTCTGAAGCTACGACTTCTGCTCTGTGGGAGACATGTCGGGGCGTGCCGTAGTTCCCTGTCCCTGTCCCACCAGAGAGTGGCACTTCCTCACGCAGCACCAGCCAGCGCGTGGGTGGACGCCGGGGCTGTGTGGTCTAGCGTCCTGCCGGGCAGGCCCCATGCTGTCCTGAGCCCCACCCTGTCCCCGGCGTTGGTGGCACGTGGTCTGCTGCATGGTGGCCCATGTGTCACAGGTGTCCCACTGCTGTTGTAACTCTGTGTCTCTAACTGTTTGCGCTGCTAGCTGCTACACTGAAGCAACCATGCTGCTCTCGAGGCAGTCCACCCTTGACGATTTAGACGGACCAGAAACTGTGCCTAAAACGAGTGAGCGCGCCCGACCCGGGCTCCGCAAAATGCTCAGCATGGACGTGTCCTCCTCGTCTGCTGACAGCACCAGCTTAGCCTCCAGGTGCTTCCCCTGTGGTGCATGCCTCCTCCGTCACTGTCTCTTCTCCCCGCGCATCTCTGCACGTGGAAGTTCTTGTGATGTGTGGGGTTTTTGTGTTTCTTAAGGATTTGCATGCCACCCAGAGCATAACCGCCGCCCTGCCTGGGACACAGCAGGTCGTTCCCAGCGCAGCGTTCTGTCACACTAACTGCTCTTCCATTTTTGTCTGTTAGGAGTTTCCTAAAAATCCCCACTGTACACATTGCCCATCACTTTGTAAGTATTCTGCACTTCCTGCTTCCAAAGAGCCAAGCATGTTTCCTCCTTGACGGAGAGCTCAAGTAGGCAGTCCTTGCGGGGAGAAGTGTGTCAGGAAGGACAGGACACTTTTTCTCATGATTTCATCCAAAGACACCGCAGTAGGAAGAAATCCGAAAATCTGGTGTGTGTAATCGTGTTTAGTGGATAGGGAAGAAATCTGTGTTATATGTGTAAATGGCATAGAAACCAGAATATATTTTACCACCCAAAAAAATACTCATTATGCAGTAGAATGTGTCACCTTTGTAGACTGTAACCCACTGGGTCCAAACAGATTACTTTGGGCCTAGTTTTCTCTTCAAATCCTACCAGAAAACAAAAATTATTCAGAAACAAAATTATTTGCGTGAAATCCAAACGCTCTCTTTTTCGAATTGCCTCTGAAAGTGTGAGTGGCCGGGTGCCAATCCTGACACCGACCGGCTCGCCCGGGTAGCCCAGCCCAAAACTGACATCCGTTTTGGCGAATCGGGGGTGCTGGCTCCTGGCCACTGGGAGCTGCGCACCTCAGTCCAGAGCTGCTGGCGCCCCTGGCATTGCTGAGAACGCCGCGGCCGTGTGAGGCGTCCCGGCGGGCATGTGCTGCGCCATCCCACTGGGTTGATTCCCGGAGGTACCAGGATTTGTTGACTCCCTTCAGGGCCAGACCATATCCAAAACCATAGGCAGCGTGGCTGTCGTCGGTGTCATCCAGCTGCATGTTAGACCTGGTGGGGGCTGGCTGCAGCGGCCTGACAGCTCGCTGGGGCGGTCAGTCAATCTCCGGCTTCCTCGGAGGCCATGTCTCGGAGGTAAGTCTTAGCCAGGGGCCGGCTTGGCTTGGTGTTCCAAGAGCCTTCTACGTGATGTGCACGCGTTGGGCCAAAGCCCTGGGGGTCCTGAACACCCCCGAGTTAGGACCAAGAGCTCGTGCACATCTGGTTCCTCACTCTCAGGCTCCGCCAAGCACATTCACTCGCTCACTCACTCACATGTCTACACGGTGTCCGTGGCAAGAGAAACGGGTACAGTATGTGCATTCGGGGATCTCCATGTTCTCAGCTGGGAGCCTTGATGTGACTTAAAACCTCCCACCAGGGGTTTGGCTCGGTTCTCCGCCGAGGGCACAGTCAGCGTCAGGTTTTGCTGCTGCCGTCTCTGCAGATCAGACGGATTATCCTGAAGGAACAAAGCAGATGGAATTGGGGGGGTGTGCTTTCACCCCCTCACCTGCCTGGGCGTGCGGGTGTGGGTGTGCTGGGGGCGTCTCAAGCCCCCCTCGAGGGGCGCAGGGATGCTGAGACCGGGCGGGGCCCGTCCTCTCTCCCGACAGCGAGCCCACCCAGTGCACCACGCTGTACTCACGCCAGGGGACCACAGAGACCATTGAGGAGGAGGAGGCCGAGCAGGCCGAGGAGGCCGAGGGGGCCCAGGACGCTGAGTCGCTCCAGGACCCCACGGAGGACGGCGACGTGGAGGCCCCGCCATCCTACAGCAAGGCAGTCAGCTTCGAGCACCTGTCCTTTGACTCCCGGGATGACTCAGCCGGCCAGACCCACATGGCGGTCAGCCCTGACGACAGCCGCTCGGACAGGCTGGAGGCCAGCGTCCTGCCGCCCCTGACCCACGAGCTGACAGCCAGCGAGCTGCTGCTGAGCAAGTAAGAACCCGTGGCCACCTCCTGGGTGTCAGCTGTGCTGTTGGGTGCAGAGGCCGTGTGCCCAGCGGCCACCGGACGTCCCCAGCAAACGTGCCGTTCCCAGTGGTAGTTGTACGGGGAGCGCGCACCGCCTCGGTGCCCTGGCCGCCGGGTGACGGGCTAACAGCTCCGTGTGCCACGTGATCTGAGGGTGACTCCACCAGACAGCTGGGCTCGTCGCAAGCCAGGAGGGATGGGGGGTCACGCAGAACGGAAATGGGTACTTTAGAGAAACCAAGACAAAGTTATTACCACTTTTTTTAGCTCAAGTGTAGTCAGCTCACAACGTTGTGCTAACTTCTGGGGCACAGCCTCGTGATTCAGTTGCACGTGTTATATACGTTCCTTTTCATGTTCTGTTTCATCACAGGGTGTTACGAGGTGCTGACTATAGCAGGACCTTGTGGTTTATCTATTTTATATGCAGCAGTTAGCAAGCCAGATGTCCAAGCTGGCTTCTCTCCCGCCTAGCAGTTTACCCCTCCCCCCCTTTCCAGCCCCCGCTAACCGCAGGCTTGTTTTCTAAACCTGTGGAATGTGCGCGACTTGGCGTGCTGCCCTTGCGCGGGGCCGCCCCGGCTTCAGCGCCCGGGCCGCGGGGCGGGCGCTGATGCGGCGGTTCCGGCAGGATGTTCCACGACGACGAGCTGGAGGAGTCGGAGCGCTTCTACGTGGGGCAGCCGCGCTTCCTGCTGCTCTTCTACGCCATGTACAACACGCTGGTGGCGCGCTCCGAGACGGTGTGCTACTTCGTCATCGTGCTCAACCACATGGTCTCCGCCTCCATGATCACGCTGGTGCTGCCGGTGCTCATCTTCCTCTGGGCCATGCTGTCCGTGCCGCGGCCCAGCAAGCGCTTCTGGATGACGGCCATCGTCTACACCGAGGTGCGCTGGGCGGGGCCCCTGCCTGACCCCAGACGGCCACGGGGCAGGCGTGGGGGGCACGTGATCACACTGGCAGGCGTCGGGGCCGGCAGCTTCCGGCTCTGTTCACGTTTCACACCCGCCCGAGGCGGTGCAGGTGTTACTCTGTCTCACAGGGGAGGAAACAGCCGGGTGAGACTGACTCGCGGGCCCAGAGTTACCCGCCTGGCTGGTACGTGTTCAGGGAGTGGACGCTGGATCAGTCAACACATAAGCCCTTAGATGCAATGTGCGTATTTCCCATTTTTTAACCAAAAGCCACTCTCCACACGTCAACACATGAACTCATAGAAACACCCAGTTAAAAACGGGAATGACAGAAAGGGTGAACTGTCACCCCGTTTCCATCACACATGAGGGATGAGAGACACTCGGCCCAGATGTCCAAGCTGGCTTCTCTCCCGCCCAGCAGCTCACAGCCCCGCGGCACCCTGACCCCAGGAGTCACAGGGAGACGGTCGCCGACCGTCTCCCCCGGCCGCACGGTTCCTCGTGCTCCTGGGTTTGGGCCCATTGCCTGAGCTGGTTCCTAAGGGAAGCTTTCACTGGCAGGTACTGTAATCGCTCCTTCAAGGCTAAGACGCACGACTGATGTCCAGTTCAAGTCTAGAAAGTTCGTGGGTTTGTAAGTAATCCAACAGTAGAGTTAAAACAATGTTGCATATGAAATCACCCCAAAAGAATTCATTTTAAAGTATCGACATCCTTTATCTTATTTCCATAGTACAAACAAAAGATGTGAAGCCAAATGTATACGCATCTGTGACTTCAGTTAGCCTGTCCGTTACAACGTTGCCCAAATGATGGCTCTTAAATGTTACTTCTGTTCCATGACTTGGTGACCCAGGACACAGCTGGCTCCCTATTTGGGGTGCAGGTGTACCCCCCGACTCCTCTGCACAGGGGAGTTTTGTGCCCAGGAGTGAAGCAGGAGCAGGTACTAGGAATGTGGAGAAGGAAGACAGAGCCACTGATAACACAGCCTTCGTCTTAAAGCCTTCCCAGTGAGTGCAAGTGGGGCGGTTGGTTTCCTCTGCCACCCGGAGGCAGGCAGAGTCAGGAAATGAGGTGAGGTTAATTCCTGCAGCCCGGCCGTGGAGCAGCGACCCAGAGCTATGCCAGGCAGGAGGGTTCAAGGGGAGGTTGAAAAGAAAAGGCCGTTCCTGCTTCTCAGTGGTCGCACACAACTGCGGCAAGCGGATGGACGTAAACACAGAATCTCCTCCTGTTCAGAACTGCCCTGCGCTGGAGACGCACACGAGTTAGCAGGTGCCCAGCCTCACGCAGCCTGGGAGGTGGAGACAGGCCATCTCGGCAGCTTGTCCGCAGAAGTGAGCTCAGAAGGGAGGGTGATGGGGGGAGAATGAGGGCAGCGAAGGACGAAAATTAAAGGGAGTCCAGTCATTGCAGAGAGAGCCTGGCATGTGCCCAGACTGACGGCGCTGTGCCTGCTGGGAAGAGGCTGAGCCGGAGCAGGGCAGAGGCCCTCAGGACTGACAGTCCACTGAGCTTGCTCACGCTCAGCACTCGGTCCCTCGGGTGGAAGGAGGCAAATGGGACAGGCTCCATCAGTGTGTGTTTCAGCAAGCTTTTTACACGTGATGCAAGCCGAGGCCTAGAGACCAGCTGGGAGGCTATTTTTACTTTCTGGGTGGGAAACGAGTCTGGGCCGATGGAACCACAGTGGAGCTGACATGAGTGGGCAAAGGAGCAGTTTTAGGAATGGAAGCTGGCGGGGGTGTGTGAGGGGGAAGCGCAGGTGGACACACCGCAGGCTTCTGCTGCAATCCTCAGGATTCGGGGACACAGGGATGCTGTCACCAAGACGAGGCTCTCAGGGCTGCTCTTTGCAGAAGCTTGACTGTGGGAAGAAGGGAGAGAGGAGAGCTAAAGGGAGAGGACTTTGTGAAATATTTCTTATTGGTGAATTGTGTGTAACGCAATTAACCGCTGATGGCATAGACGGTGGATGTGGTTTCCAATGAAACCGTCAACTGTCCCGTCTCAGCGCACGTCTCCACAGCGTTCGCACCCTGAGCTAGTTACCAGCACGACTGGCAAGTTTTTGTTTCGCTTACTTTTATTTATTCTTGAAGAGAACTTCCCGTGAGCAATCAAAGGGTGAGAAGAAAGATCAGAATAAAGTGACAGTTGTGTGCGTGAAGCCTGGGTGCTCCTGAAGGCTGCACGTGACCGCGCTGTGTACACTGTAAAGGTCTTCCTGTTCGCATTTGTCCGACATGGCTTATTTAGTAGCCGAATGAGTCCAGAAGTCTTTAATTGAATCAGTAAAATTAGCCAACGCCTCCACACAACGGCAGAAGCCGCCTGAGCTGGGGCAGGAGTGCCCTGGCAGACCTGGCAGGTCCGCCGTGGAACGTGCCTGCTCTGAAGCCAGTGCCCGCGGCAGCAAGGACGTGTCACACTGCACATCGTCAACACGGGGAAATCTGCTTCTTGAATTTTTGTATCACTGTTTCCCACATAGAACTATCCTCGCTTTTCAAACCAAACAACTTTTTATTGAAGTGCAGTTGATTCACAGTGTTAGTTTCTGGGGTACAGCATAGTGATTCAGTGATACATACATACATTCTTTTTCATGTTCTTTCGTATGATGTTTATCACAAGATACTGAGTGCAGTTCCCTGTGCTGACCAGTAAGACCTTGCTGTTTATCTGTTTTATACACAGCAGTTTGTATCTGCTGATCTCGAATTCCCATTTCACCCCTCCCCACCTCCTGTCCCCCTGGAAACCATCAGTTTCTTTTCTGTGTCTGTGAGTCTGTTTCTGTTTTGTAAGTAAGTTCATTGGTATCATTTTTTAGATTCCACATACAAGTGGTAATGCGACAGTTGCGTTTCTCTGTCTGACTTACTTCACTTAGTATGATCAACTCTAGGTCCGTCCACGCTGCTGCAGATTAGAACTGTTCTTTCTCAGAAAGCACCTTCGTTGTGTAATTCCCGCTCAGTAAGCTGCACGTGTTTCAGAGGTGCAGTTGGGTGCATCTTGATAGATGCTGACGCCCGCGAAACCGCCACCACGATGAAGGAGCTAACGCTGCTGTCAACTTCCTGTCATCTGTGTAGGTGGCGATCGTGGTCAAGTACTTCTTCCAGTTTGGGTTCTTTCCCTGGAACAAGAATGTGGAGCTGAACAAGGACAAGCCGTACCACCCGCCGAACATCATCGGGGTGGAGAAGAAGGAGGGCTACGTCCTCTACGACCTCATCCAGCTGCTGGCGCTCTTCTTCCATCGCTCCATCCTGAAGGTGCTGCGCGGGGTGGGGCGCAGCCCTGACGAGTCCCCGGGAGCCCGTGGGTGGGGCCTGCGTGGGGCCCGTCGCTTCCAGCGGTGGAGTTTGTAGTGAATCAGGGAGAAGGTTTCCCCGTCTCCACCCGGGGTTGAACCCTTGCTCGTCCGTTCGCATCTGCGGGAACGGCCTGAGGAGGCGGAGTCCCTCGCGCCCGATGCGCTGAGTTCCCCCCGAGCCTGAGGCAGAGCGTCGGAGCGTACAGCGTGGGGTGGATCCCCTCACTGGTCCCTCCATCCCGACCTCCACCCAGCTCCTGGCAGCACTGCTTCCCTTGTAGTTTCTTGTCCTGAAATCCCGAGACCACAGGCGCGATGGTTCCGTGAAGCCAGGGCTGTGCTTCCTGAGAGCCGAGGGCCGACAGCGCTGTCCTTCGCATTGCTCTGGGGGGACGCGCCATGAGCGTCTCAGGTCCAGGAACTCGTCACCCTCCCAGCAGCGATGGGGCTTTTGTTTCTTCCCACACACTGAGTTATAAGCTAAACCCGAAACGCACCTCTCAGCTCTAAAACTGAGATGTGGTCGCCCGCGCACGTGTCTGTCGTGACATCTTCCGTTCCTGCTCTTGTGTAATTAGCCTGTCTCCTTGTGTAAGATGTTTTATTCTGTTAACACCTTTGCTGAGATGTGTAAGCCACACACATTCCAGATGTTCACTCTGATGAATTTTGATGGATGTCCCGTCACCTGTGAAGTCACCACCGCAGTCCAGACGGCTAACATTTCCATCCCTCCCCAAGAGGAGCAGTTTTCAGATTCCCAGTTTATCCCGTCCCATCCTCTTTACCCCCGGTAACCTCCATCCGTGTGTAACTGACAGAGGAGATTGTCAGGTATTCAAAGGGCAGATCGTGGTCGTTTGATACACCTGTAACTGTGAAAGGGCTCCCCCAACGCCCACCTCACTTAACGTCTTTTTTCCTTGGAGAGAACATTTAAGCCATGCTCTCCTGGCAAATTGCCGCTGACAACGCAGTGTTGTCAGCTCTGGTCACCCCGTCTTTCACATGGTTTCCTCACCTGGGCAGACGCTGCTGACCCCGAGCGGGGCGGCATTCCAGCTACTGCCCTGAAGCAGCGCTCTGAGCCGCCCCTCCCCTGCCTTCCCAGTGCCACGGCCTGTGGGATGAGGACGACGTGGCCGATGGTGGCTCGGACAAGGAGGACTCAGGTGACGAGCTGTCCCTCAGCCACGGCAGAAGGGCCTCCTCTGACTCTCTCAAGTCCATCAACCTGGCCGCGTCCGTGGAGTCGGTGCACGTGACCTTCCCCGAGCAGCCGGCGGCCGTCAGGAGGAAGCGCTCCAGCTGCTCCCAGACGTCCCAGGGGTCCAGCTTTTCCTCGACTAAGTCCAAGAGAGGTATCCGTCCCGTGGTGACCCTAGGCTGCAGGAACCTGGCTTGAGTCATTTTCCTGGGGCCCCGGGGTCTGGGGCAGGGGAATCTGTCGGGTGCCGTCGAGGAGACGGATACTGCCATGGGGAAGGAAAGTGCTTTGCGGTCAGACAGCCCCGAGCTGAGGCCCTGGCCCCGGTGCCTCTGCACAGTTGAGAGTGTCTGATTCTTCCGCAGGACGAGGGTTTCAGGTGCTTGTGACAGGTGGTCAGCAGGCCACCTAGCCGGTGTTGGGCACATGTTTGTCTTTAAACACATTCAGAGATTCTGCTGGGTGTGTCCAGGGTGCTGTAAATCAGCATTTATTTTGAAAATATATTGATTTAATCAATGGGGCTTTAGCTAGACCATCTAGATTTCCTAAGCCAGTTGCTGATTTCTTAATACATAGCAAGTGTGTGTGCGTTACAGGTGTCCCCTGGGTAACTGGCTCTCGTGTCTGGCGTGGTCCTGTCTGAAGCTTCCTAGATGCTCACAAAGACACTTTTCAGGCGGACCCTGAGGTCACGTTGTATTTGTGTAACAGTTAAAGGAATCTGGATGTGAAAAAAGGCAGGGGTCCTGGACCCAATCTGGAAAACCCACAACAAAAGCCTGGGGCCCCATTTAGCATAAAACCTATTCTCCAGTCGACTCTTTCCTGAGACAGAGACCGCGCACCTCGACGGCCCGGGAGGGGGCCAGAGCGGGTGTGAGAACCCACAGACGCCCGTTACGCCCACAGACGTGAGGCGGCAGGTTCCAAGTTCTCCGTCTGCGGTCGCGGACCCGGCCCGTCTCACCCTCTGGCCAGCTGCACCCGCCCCTCCGCCGTGGGGGCTGCCGGGGTTCTGCGACGTTCGCGTGGACAGACCCATAACCCCCAGTGCCTCCTGGCTTGTTTTCCTTCCAGGCAGCACCAGCACCCGGAACAGCAGCCAGAAGGGAAGCAGTGTGCTGAGCATCAAGCAGAAAAGCAAGAGGGAGCTGTACGTGGAAAAGCTCCAGGAACAGCTCATCAGAGCGCGAGCCTTCGCTATCAAGAAGTGAGTGCGCAGCGTGGCCTCGCTTTGCTGGGCGGGGGCCAGGGTCAGGCCCTGCCAGGGCAAAGGACGAGAGCACCTCCCCCACACGGAGGGTGTCTGCTTCGGGCAGAGAGAGACAGCCCGTCGTGATACTGTTTTTTGAAAAACCCCTTTCCAACAAGGATGATTCGTGTTTACGTCCATGGCGTTTGTGAAACATACTTTTTCTATTTGGAAAAAGGACTCACGGTCTGTGTTTCCAGGCGGTATCATGGAAGAGTCATACCAGACAGAGAGGCATGTGAGGCCCAAGCCGGAAGGCTCTCAGAGATACACTGTCACCCCAAGGAGGGAGGCCGAGGTGCGCCTCGGGGAGGGGGCTTATCCGACATCACGGCCCATCTCCGGCCAAGGGCGCAGGTCCTCCCAGGTGTCAGGGACGCAGATAGGCAGCAGACGTGGCCCTGGGTCTGGGCTCTGAGACTGAGGGCCGTCCCCACCTGACCGTGGCCTTGAACTGAAGGCAGAACCCAGGCACAGTGAGGTTAGGGTGGAGGCCGGATGGCCAGGCCGAGAGCAGGGGAGCGCTGGACGGAGCAAGGTGAGCCCCAGAGGGGCCCAGGGCCGGAGGGGGGTGGGCGGGGCTGCCCAGCATGCACTGGGGCTCGGACACCGGCCGGCGCCCCTTCAACTGCACCGCAGCCCTGGGCCTCAGGTCTCCTCATCACCACCTTCCATGGACGAGGAAACGAACGTGCAG